AAATCTGAGGGTGTGCCAGGATTTCTGAGGCAGGGAAGCAATTTCTGACTAAAAGATGACTCACATAGCTTCCCTCGGAGGGCAAGTCTAGTTCCTAATGGTTAGAAATAAGAGTGGGAAGAAAAAGCTTCTGCCACCCTCAGAAGAGATGGGGCATGGGGTGGAGGCTGGCCCTCTGGAGAGTCCTCACGGGACGCTTTCCTGGCCTCCCTGCTGGTAGACTTGGCCCTGGTACCATCTTCCACCTGTGTCTGGAGTGGTTCTGAGCACTGCGAGAAGAAAGCCTATTAAGGACTTGTCTGCTGCTACCCAGCAACCCCCAGCCCTCCCAGCCTCACCTCTCATTATTCCAGCCCGTAGACATGGCCAGGCCACAGACCGCCACATTTCCTGAATGAGCTATGCGTCTTCTGGTCTCTGGGCCTTTACAGGGCTGTGCCCCTGCCTGGAATGCTCCCTTGCCCACTTGGTTAACTCCAGGGTTCTCTGGGCCCAACTCTACCACTTGGTGGTCAGGAGCCACCCTAGGCAGGTTACTTAATGTTTCTGTAGCTCAGTTTTCTTAGCTGCAAGATGGGAGTGATCATATTGGCCTTGATTGCCTGGAGGGGATGTGGAGGGTCAAGCAAGACAGAGGCTGGCACAGAAAACAACAGAGGGTAAGGCTCAGGAAGAATCAGAGGCAATAAGAGGAATAACTGTTGTGGACTGAGTGCTTGCTACATGACAAGCACAGTGCTGGGAGCTCCACGCACATCTCTCATCTGATGTTCACAGCAGCCTTGGAGCTGCCTCAAGACAAAGGTACAGCCACATGAGTTGGGCATGGAGTGGTGGTAGGCTGGCTGCACAGGCTCTGGATTCTATAGACCTGGGTTCCAGTCCTAGCTCAGCCTCTTATCTGCTCTGAGACTCCAGGCACATTCTTTTACTCCTCCCAGCTTCAGTGTCCTTATCTATGAATTAAAGAAGTGATGTCACTCACTTCATGGGATCACTGTACAAGGCAACATGAGGGAAGCACGCAGCATTGAGCCAGGGAAAGTGAATGTTAGCAATTATGATGAATTATATGCTCAATTTACAGACTGGAAAATAGAGGCTTGAAGAGGTTAAGTAACTTGCTCAGGGTCACACTCAGGTGGTGAGTGCCAAAGCCTGCAGTTTAAATCCTGGTCTAATGGACTTTGGAGCCAAAGCTCTTAAGCATCACTTCCTGGACTAGGGGTTAGGACAGCTGGATTCTAACCCTAGTAACCCCTGGGGTGACTTGGCACAAATCCCTCTCTGTTTCTGGGTCTCAGAGTAAAGTGAGGGAGCTGGACCAGGGGGTCCCCGAGATTTATGGATCCATGTAGATGACATCCACATACACTAACCTTGCAAATACTCATCTACTTTAAAAAAAATTAAATAAAAGGTGCTAGCTAGTTGGAAGATGTCTGCATCAATGCAGACTAGAGAGCTGAGGGAAGTTGCAGAAGAAATCACCTCAGCAAGCTGGAGGTGCCAATAGAACACTAGGCACTGGGGCTAGGGCCAACTCCTACCTCTTTCTGTCACAAGAATAGGAAAGTAGAGGGAGAAATATCAGTCCTGTCCTGAGCTTCTTATCAACTCACATTCATCCATCCATCACTCACATATTCAACCATCCATTCACTCATCTATTTGTCCACCCTTCCATTCTACTGACCCACATCTACCCATCCCATCCATCCATCCATCCATCCATCCATCCCTCTCCCTACCTACTCCTCATCTCATTGATTACACACACACACACACACACACATACACACACACACACACACACACACATTCACCATTCAATCCACCTACCTCACTCTCTCCCACCCAACCAGTACTTCCTAAGGGCCTAGGTCAGGGGGAACAGAGATGACTCGGCCATGTCTTTCACTCTCAAGGAGCCCATAACCTCAATCAGACAGCAAGAAGACACAGAAGAATTGGTGTCCTCATGGAGGGGGAACTGCAGCTCTACCCAGGGTCTTATTTTCCCAGGCCAGGCTCATTTATCAATCACAGCCGAGGGACAGTGTGGGGGAACATTGCATGCCTTCCCTGCTCTGTCTCCTCTCGCATGGCTTATGAGGTCCTGCAGTCCAGGTTTCCCAGCCTGCTTTGGAGGTGGCTGGAATTCCACCCTGGACTGAGAAGCTCCTGCCTCTGCTCAGGCCTCCTCTGGGCCTAGACAGGCAGTCCCTAAGAGCCCCTTTGGCCCAAATGGCTGGCAGTCTCTAGCTGTGAATCTGACTCTCTGGACCCTAGGCCTTTCTTCCCAAGACCACCATAGGCTAAAGCTGCGACAGGATTGGATTTAATGACCAAGAACTTGGTCTGGACATCCTACTCAACAGCTGGCTTTAGGGTTTGTGTAAGTTGGCTTTGCCACTAATTAATTGGCTGTGTGACTTTGGGCAGCCCTGCTGTCTATTCACATATTGGCTAGCTTCTGCATTGCTACAAATGGAATCCCCTTAACGGGCGGCTGCTGAACAACAACACTAACCAGCTGTGTGCTGAATATATGCATGACACTGTGCTAAGCACTTTGCACTTACTAACTCACTTCATCCTCACAATAATCCTGTCATGTCCCCTAGAAAACGGAGGTACAGAGAGTTTAAGTAGCTTGTTTACATTCACACAGCGAGCGAGGGATTTGAACCCAGGCGATCTAGCTATGGAGGATGAGCTTTAACCATCACCTAGTCATACCAGGGGGCTCTGCTGTCCCTTCCACACTGGTGGCCCTCAGCCTTCACCAAGGAGAACAGTGTGGCCAGGGTTCTTTTAGGAATGACCCAGAGAGAGAGGCACTGAGGGTGTCAGGGTTCAGAGCATAGAAGGGGACACCAGTGCCTGAGAGGTAAGTGACGTGGCCTGACTATAAACCAAGGATTCCAGTTCCTAGGTCCCCAACCCCTCTCCCGTTTCAGCAGTTACACCTTCTCTGCATGTGGAGCTGACTGACTGACCCCTCTCCTTTCAGCCACCTGGACATAGCCTCAGTCGACCGACGTTTGGATATTAGATTTGCGCGTTGCCGCCAGTGCTATGAAACAGCCTAATTGAGACTTATCACTGCAGTGATGCTGCCGCAGCCCTCCCGGCAGATACCAGACTCCTTTTTTACTGTGACTGCATAACATACATCTCAATCCAAGTCCACCTCTCAGGGCTCTGCCCACGTGGCTGCCCTTTTGTGTGCAGCCAGCTCTGGGCATCACCCCGCTCCCCTCTTTGTCTCATCTGAAGTATAAGATTATTAACAGCATCTCAGTTATGTCAGAAAGGCCTGGGGAACAGAAGACAGCATCGTTGATCTCCCTTGAATCCCGAATTGGAGCTGGGGGGTATGTGTGTGTGTTGGGGGAGGGGGTGCAAGGGGTACAAAGACATTGTCATTTCTGGCACCCACCCCAGGGTTCTCTATCACCTGTCTGCGTGCGTTCTCCTGACCCACTTTCTCCTTTTGTCAGTTCTGCCTCCCTCAGCCTGCAGCTCTGGGGTGATGCGGCTGGCTGCCTGCCACAGCAGAGGGGGTGCAGTTCTTGTAGCCCCAGTATCTGGAGGCAGAAGCCATCTCCTCTTCCTTCTCCCAATAGCCCTTGGCCCCTCGCTGCTGACTCACGTTCTCCTCCCCATTTCAGTAAAGCTGCTAGCAGCTCCCACAACCCAACCTGATCATGAAGATTTGAGCTGGTTCAGGGGCAGAAGAGGGAGGTCAGGGCTAGGGCCCATTTGGCGGGTTGGCGAAAAAGTTCAGCTGCTCACCCAGATGCCCGCACTGCAGAAATACCCTACATCAGGGTGCCTGGTGTGAACAATTCTGTGTTTCTCTTCATACAAATGCTGGGTAATTACAAAAAGGCAACCTGTGCTTCTAAACCAAATAGGGATTACAGCATGATGAGTCAGGCATTGTAGCTGAGACAAGAATAGGAGAGATTTTCTTCTCAAAACTAGTAATACCACTACTATCACTAACAACAACAACATCATTGGTGGTAGGTTGTGAAAATGGCCATGGTTAGTTGCCTCTCTGAAGCCATGCCCTTTGCAATGTGACTCTGCAGTTCCTCTCATCAAGAGATGGAGTCTACTTCCCCAACCTTTTGAACCCGACTTCTGTTAGCTAATACAATGGGCAGTGACAATGTGAACAAGCCCAGTGTTAAAAGACAACAGTCCCCAAATAGAGTCACTTGTGCTAAGCCCACATCACCAGAGACTTAGCACCTAACCTAACTGCAGTTTTAGCCTCTCCCAGGAATGTAATCTTAACCAGTCAACCTGGAATTTCCTGGTCAGCACTAGTGAGGGAATCCACCTGATAGCCCCCTTCTGTCCCACATAGGTAGGTTACCTAAGCCTGAAACAATCCGCTTTTCCCCCTTTCTGCCTATAAAGCCTTCCATTTTGTGCAGCTTTTTGGAGCTCCTTTCTTTCTACTTGATAGATGGGATGCTGTCCGATTCATGAATCATTCAATAAAGCCAATAGGATCTTTAAATTTTACTCAGTTGAATTTGTGTTATTTGATACTGGACAAGCCCGGAGGAGGTGGGGCCACACAGAGCAGGGATGAGTCATCCCAGCAGGGGCCGTTCTAGTCAGCCCACAGTCCTGCCAAGATCAGCAGAGCTCCACTGAGACCAGAAGAACCACCCAGCTGAGCCCAGCCTGGATTGCTGACTCGCAGAATTGTGAGCTAAATACAGTTTATTTTTAGCCACTAAGTTTTGAAATAGTTTGTGATGTAGCAAACGCTAACTAATAAATGACATTCTTTTTTTTTTTTTGGTCATACAAACATCATAGCTTAAGTTAAAGAGAAACAAGTCACTTACTATCTGACCTCCCCAAAATGCACCAGCAGGGTTTAAAAGCACGAATTGCATTGCTCAACCTGCCCTGAACTTCTGTATCCCCCCACGGATGTCGCTCTCTCTAGTGGCGCCTGCCCCACTTACCAGAATCTTGGTGGTGTAGGCGCTGTTGATGGCGATGGCATTGACCAGCAACTCCATGGTCTTGGCGTTGATGGAGCTGGGGTCGGGGACCTCCTTGTAGTGGACATCACCAATGTAGGCCTGCACCACTGTCATGCGATTGGTGGTCAGCGTACCCGTCTTATCTGAGCAGATAGCTGTGGCATTGCCCATGGTCTCACAGGCATCCAGGTGGCGTACTAGGTTATTGTCCTTCATCATTTTCTGGGGGAAGGAGCAAGTGAAAAGGCAACAATGAGGAGAGGGAGTTGAGGGCCCAGGGTGCAGGGGCGTGGGGTGGACACATAGTAAATGAGGCAGGGCTGCTGCAGTCTGCCCGTTTGCTTCCACACATGAAAGGATCATGGTGGCTATAGCCTCTGACATCTGTGCTCCTTTTGTGTGTACAGCTCTTTTATTTCTCTTTTATTAGTTGAGTGATTTAAAAAATTTGACTAATTGACTTTATTAATTTGGGTTATAGAAGCAATCTACATTCTTTATGGGAAAAAGAGAGAAAATGGTGATAAGATTGGGTCCTTTCTGATTATTTCAAATATTTTTCCCTAACATAAATAACTATTCCTTATTTGATTAGGAATTTTCTCATCTGTACCATCTTTCACTGGTGCCTGGTTTTTATTGTCACTTTGGTTTCACCGAAAGGAAACACATTTAGGAGATACATGTATTTATAGACATAGGACAATACCTGGAAAAATATCAAGATATTAGTGTCATTATCTTTGGGTGGTAGAATTATAGGAAATTTTTGTCTTCTTTTAAAAAATCTATAGATTCTGTTTTTTTCTGTGAATGCATATTGTAACTTGCATGATAAAAATCACGAATTTCTTTTAAATAGACAAACAAAAAAGAAAACAAAGCAGCCTTAATGCTACCACTCAAAACTGATCCATCTTACACATCAACATCCTTTCTTTTACATTTATAACAAAAATGGAATCCTACTATACATATTTATTATTAATTTTCTAATGGATTTGCCCCCCTTTCTCTCTTCCCAGTTTCACGCACCCAGCTCCTTCCAGGTTCTCAAGGAAGTAATGCAAATACAGTAATTCTCTGGGAAGCACTGGTCTTCATGCATGCCCCCCCTATCACGGTGACTCAAGATGGCAAGGAGGGACCCTGAAAAGCTGTCAGAGTAAAAGTTGCTGAATTAGATGTAGTTCTAGTCTCTGCCTAGGAATTTGATTTTTAAAATTCTTGCTCCTCATTATAACTCTTTATAACAAGGGTAAAAAAAAAGAGTGCAATTAGAATAATTTTAATAGCAGTTTATATTACTAAAAAATAAGCATTGGTAGGATTATTTGCTTTTACAGTTTCTATTATTGTAACCTGTGATAAAAGTAACAATAAATGTATGTTGAATGGATGATCAACAGCAATTTGAATTTGCAACACACTTTACAGTGTGTTGTAAACAGTCTTCTGCATTTATTTTTTTGCCTGATGTTATAAGAATCCTGTGAACTTGGGAGGATTAATCTATTTTGGCAATCGAAGAGGCCAAGGCAAAGTGGCTTGACTAGGCTCACACACCTAGGGAGGGTTAGATTTGGGATTGGAACCCAGCTCTGTTTATTTAACCTGACAGCCTGGATCATTCCAGCGGGCCTCTGCCCATCTGTACTCTCTGACAAGGGTTTATGTCTGTTGAGCTTAAAAATGCCGAGGCCTGTGTTGCCTAATACGATAGCCATACATGACTACTGAACACTGGAAATGTGGCTGGTCTGATGTGAAATGTGCTGTAAGTATAAAATACACATCAGATTTTGAAGACTTATTGTGAAAAAAGAAATGTAAAATATCTCATTAGTAATTTTATATTGGTTACATGTTGGCTTGATAATAATTTGGACATATTGGGTTAAGTAAATAATATTATTAAAATTAATTTTGCCTATTTCTTTTTACTTTTCCTTTTTAACATGGCTACTAGGAAATTTAAAATCACACAAGCGGCTCATATTACATCTCTGTTAGACAGCGCTGATCTAAATGGTCATCTCTACGCTTCTGATGGTGACTTCTGGGGGGTAGGCCCAGGCTCAGAGAGGGTTGGGGCGCTGCACTAAGTTTATCGAGTAACTGTATAAGTAATACTATCTAAGACGGCTGAAGGCACCAGGTGCCAGAGATACAAACCACAGGTATAGAGGCCTAAAAATATCTGTATGCGATCCCCCCAAGCCAAGTCTGTATGACTTTTACGGAGACCCGAGCTCAGCTGCGTGGCTGAGGCTCTCACTCATGGCTTTGTGAGAGTCTTTGTCTCCAGGCCCTGGGCCCCTGAGCAGCGTAGTGAGCTGACCTGTTTGGGCTTTGGTTTGTGGGATGGAGTTTCTTTGAGAACCCTAAAAACAAGGAGACGATAACGGCCATATCCTTTACACAGAGCTGCCACTTTCTGGCATCTGCCTAGAGATCTCTTTTCTGTATGAAATTACATCGGCGAGCCCAGCCCAAATTCCAGCTTGGAAACTGACGCTCGCTGTGTCCTCCGGCGGCGCTGCCAATGTCTCGCAGCGAATGCCTTATTTATAAACACGCCCAGGCCTCCACCCTTGCAGGGACATCTGGCATCAGGGCCCTGGGAAACAGGAGTGCAGCCTTCCTTCTGAAGTGTGAAAACCACAGGGCCAAGGGTAGAGAAGAACCCAGGTGTGAGGACCTGGGGGTGAGGCAGGCTTGAGGTGCCCCCAAGAGGGCCGGACTCGCGGTGCCTATGAGGATGTCAGCCCGTTCAGCCCAGCACTCCAGCTCTGCAGATAGCCACAGGCCTGGGAGCAGGGGGAGGTGGGCAATGCCATCGGGGCAGCATTTAAAAAGGCTCCCCAGACCCAAGCACCCACAGTCGGCACGCTTGGGCCCACTTGCCCTTCATAGAACTGTTTTTAAAACCTCACATTTTCAGCCCAACTCCTGAGAGGAGGGAGCTTTCATAAAATCAGTCGTCCTTTTTGTTTTAGGCTTATTTCTTTTAAACGTTAGGAAGCAACCTCTGATATTAGTGTAATAGTCATATAGGTTGTACAAGGCTACTATGAGGCCTGAGCCTACGACGGCCAGACCTCTGCTGTGGTGGGATGCAATGGGTTTGGGCCTGCATAGTGATGTCTGCATTTCATTTTCTGTGTATAGTTGGGTTGATTGTCCATATTTAAAAACCAGGAGGGTTTATACTAAGTCCAGATTTCTGGCTTCTCTTGAAAAAAATGTAAACTGGGCCTACATCCCTTCAAGGTGACGGTTGGGCTGAATAATGACTGTGTGTTTAGCTACGGTGTGGCTCTCCAATTTGCCACAGGCCCCGGGACTCCCTGAAGGCAGTGACTTTTGGGTTCCTGCACACATCTTCTCTCTGGCTTCCAATGTGTCCACCCCCTTCTTCTTAACTCTTCTCCCACCCCCAGCGCTGGCCCCACTAGCCACCCTACAGACCCCCCAGCCGGTGGCAACCTAGCACAGTTTGCATCAGCTGGCCAGTCCTGTTCTCGCCTTCTCACCTTCACCGAGTAGGCCAGCGAGATGGTGACAGCCAGAGGGAGCCCCTCAGGCACGGCGACCACCAGCACCGTCACTCCAATGATGAAGAACTTGACAAAGTACTGCACATAGACAGGCGTGCACTCGGGTAGCCACGGCTTCTTGTTGACCACGAAGGTGTCCACGGTGAAGTAGAGCACCAGGATGATCACTGTGATGGCCGACATCACCAGGCCTGCAACACGGGTGGGAGGAGACATGCTCAGCAGCTGTCTTGGGGCTAGAGGCACTCTGAGAAATGAATGTGGACCAAACCCTTGGCCCAAAGGGCTCTGGGGTCAGACTGGCCTTAGCTCACATCCCCGTTCTGCCACTTACTTGCTTTGGGGCCTGGGACAAGTCCGTGATCCTCACAGAGCCTTAGTGCTTCCTCCGTACAATGGGGATGCACATTTATTTCACATGGTTTTGTAAGGATCAAATGCAATTACTGCATGTAAAGTGCCTAGCACAGTGCCCGACACACAGTAGGTGCTTACGAAATGTGTGCTGAGTGATCATGTGAATAAGTAAGGGCTGCTGGCATAGCGCTCTCACACAGTAACGTTGTGCAGTTGGTACCATTTATTTACTCATTCATTCAGGCAGTAGGAACAGAGCAGTCAAGAGGACCGAGACCCTGTCCTTGGAAAGCTGGGATTCTAGAGGTGGAGACAGACAAGAAACAAAAACGAAAAAGGTAATTCAGATACAATAATGCTCTGAAGAAAATCTCCAGATGACGTGCTAGGCTGAAGCTAAGAAAACAACCTATATGTCCCTGGACTGATGAATGGATAAAGGAAATGTGGTAGACACATACAATGGGATTATTCAGCTTCAAAAAAGAAGGCAGTCCTGCCATTTGCCACAACAGGGATGGACATGGAGGACATGATGCTAAGTGAAATAAGGCAGAGGAGAAGGACTTATAAGAGGAATCTACAACAGGCAAACTCATAGAAGCAGAGAATAGAAGGGTGGTTGCCAGGGGCTGCGGGGAGGGGCGGAAGGAGTTGTTTTTCAGTGGGTATAAGGTTTCAGTTATGCAAGATGAGTAAGTTCTAGAGATCTGTTGTACAACATGGTGCCTATAGGTAACAATGTGGTATTGTGCACTTTAAAATTGGTTAAGAGGCTAGATCTCCTGCTAAGTGTCTTTACCCAAAAAACAAAAATCAAAAAAATATTCAAAAGAACACAAAGAAATTTTTGGAGGTGGCGGATATGTTTAGTACCATGGTTGTGGCGATGGTACCATGGGTGTATGTATATGTCCAAACTCATCAAGATGTACACATTAAATGTGTGTAACTCTGTTGCATTTAAACCATATCTCAATAAAGCTAAAAACAAGAAAAAACGACATGTGCAGGAAGGGAGAGGCTACTTAAGCCAGGGTGTCCAGGGAAGACTTCCTGGAGGAGATGATATATGAGCAGACAGAGGAAGGATGAGAAGCAGCAGCCAGGTGGTGACTTGCAGGAAGAGAGTTTCAGGCAGAGGAAACAGCAGGGGACTCTGTTTTGGATGAGGAAACTGAGGCTCAGGGAGGGGACGTGACTTGCCCAAGGCCACAGGCCAGGGAGGCATTGTAGAGTTAGCAAATGCAGGTGGCTACCTGCTGGGATCCCCTGGGATTTCTCCTGCCAGTTCCACGTGCCCATCCCCATGTGTCGCAGGTGCTGTGCAGGTGCCTCTGAGACTGCACACATGCAGCCTCTGCCAGAGGAGGATTGTGCTTGGGCGATTGGAGTCTCCTTGTCAAGATGTGCCTGGGAGTGCACCCCACCCCAACTGGATGGCCAAGGTGCAATGGTCGATGTGGGGGTCCAAACACCCAGCCCCCTTGCTGCAAGGCAGGACAGACCCTGCAGAGGTCCTCTGCTCCAGGGCTCCCCGTGGAGCAGGTGGATTTCTCCCCAAACCTCAGCTGTATTCAGCTTCTTCTCCCATCTGTTGTATCCTTTGCCCTCTACAGGTCTCATTTGAGAGCACTCCCTCCCAAATCCCATGCCCACCAATCTCCAGCTCTGCTTTCAGAAAATTCAGCCCAAGAGAGAAGCAGAGGTGGGATATGAACCCTGAAGTGCTTGACTCTGAGCTCCACTCCAGGCAGGGCCAAGGAGGCAGAGGGGCAGGGGATGAATGAGGACTTTGAAAGCCATGGGTTGTTCTCATAGCTTTGTTCCCTGCCCCCCAGTGCCATGTTTCCTGGGAATCTTCTCCAGGGTGAGGAAGAAGGAAATCCCTGTGCCCTTGCTTCTCCACCCCCACCTCCAGCTGTGGAGCCTCAGAGCCCGCTCTATCCCAGCCTGACAGTCGCAAGGGCGGGAAGCCAAGCTCCCAGCAGCCGGGAGCTGTCACCAGGACCCTGAGTTTAAATATAGATAGCCAAGCCTGTAATTTGCCTCCCTTCTCCACACTGCAGTGCCTATAATTAGAGCCGGGAGACAGCCACGGAGGAGCAAGCAGCCAGGTGGGGAGGCCTTAGCGGGTGCCACATCCTTACCCAGGAGGGGTGGCCAAGGCCACGTCAGACGGGCAGGGCTCACCTTGCAGCTGGATTTGGCTTCCTGAGCCAGAGGGGCTGTCAGCAGCCTTCACCTGCAGCTATCAACTCAGTTGGGAAGGCCAGCTAGTTGTGCTGGGGATCCTGACACTGCCCTCAGCCTCTTCAGCCTTTGCACTGCACTGCAGCTGGGGTGGTCACTATGCAGCCCAAATGTATCCCTGCCCTCCCCTGCTCAAACCTCTTACATGGCTCCCACTGTCCTCAGGGTAAAAAGCCTGAGCTGCAAACTCCAGGCCCTGCAGGATCTACCGAGCCTCCAGCCACCACACCTGCCAAGGGCTAAGTACTCTGTGTGCATAATCTTGTTTAATCCTCGTAGCAAGCAACCTGTGAAGTTGAGACTACTGGGTATCCCAATTTCTCAGACCAGGAGGCGGAGGCTCAGAGCCAGGAGAAGTTACCTGCCCAAGTTCCCACAGCCATAGCTGGACAAGAAAGCAGTCAGTGTGCTCCACACCCCAGGCTTTCAGCTTCACTCTCCTGCCTCTCTCAGTGCTGAGTGTCTAATGTATAAAGACTCAGACAGGGTGCTGTGGTGGAGAAGGTGACCGTCTCACGTAAGCCTCCATTTTGCAGATGAGGAAGTTGAGATCCAGCTTGGGGCAGGACCCTGCCTGGGGTCCTACTGTGCATCCCCCCTGGCAGTACCCACGGTGGCTGCACACTCACCTGCCTTGCCGATCTGCACAGCCAGCTTGGTGAGCTTGCCCTGGAGCACCGACTTCTCCTTCTTGTGCATGTTGGCCTTCTTCTTGTCGTCAGCATCACCTCCCTCGGCACTCTTGAGGGGCTGCATCTCCATAGCGGCCGCCCCGTCTTGCTGTTTGGCTGTAGGTGACAGAGCACACGTGCACACACACACACACACAGACACACACACAGACATGCACACACAAACAGGTCAGCCTACAGGGTGGGGATGTTGGCACCCACCCTGCCTGCCTGGGAGTGTAGTGAGGCATTCACTACCCCCGTCCTGGGCCCACACATGGCCGGCACAGAAACCCTGTGATGGAAGGTTTGCCTCTTCCAGCTGGAGACTCTGGTCCCAGGGCCACTGGCTACCTCAGACCTGGAATCCAGGACACAGAGGGCAGTGACGTGGCGCCAACATGGATTCCCAGCAGGAGTAGCCTGGGGTCCCCTCGTGGCCTTTTCAATGGCCGCTTGGTTTTCCCCATATTCAGACAGGCTTGGGCTTTACGCGTTGATCCTTGGGCCATTTTGTTGGTATACTAAGTAGTCATCAGACAGCAGGGACAAAAAGCGGAGCTTAAAAGGTAAAAGAGCGTGTCCCTGTCCATGTACCAAGCCCTCTCCTCCTCTCCTCCTTCAGTGCAGGCCTGACTGGTGGGCCTAGGCCCTACCCCTCATTTCCTAAGGATCTCAAAGAGCCAGCTTCAGTCTTCAGCTAAATGGGGAATGTAGCTCAAAGGCTGGGAAGAAGCTGGCTGGCGGGTGTCTCATTCTCACCAGGTGATGCCTCCATTTGGCCTGGAACCATGTGAATTATAGCTACACCTCCCCTCCCCCCCAAGACGTCAGGCACCCACAGCTGTGGCCGTGTCTGCCTCTGGCATGGCCCTCAGAACTGGAAGGGAGGGGCTGCAGGGACCACAGGAGCTGGTTAATACAAAAGGGTTACCTTTGCTCTGGCTGGCGTCCACAGTGCCATCCTGCATTTTACCTACACGACAAAGAATTTTAACAGACAACAGAGAACAGACAATGCACATTGGTCATCATGAAGACGCAACAGGGCCACGGACATTCATGTCACAGACGGAGGAAGGGCCAAGCCGACTCCGTCCCTCCTTACAGGGGTGCTGGGGATGCCCCAGAGACAAGAGCAAACCTGGCCACCGTGTTGGCTGCAGGGTCTGTCTTGATTTTCTGGGGGCTTGGAGAGAGTGTTTCTGTGGGAATTATTTTAGCAGTGAGCATCTTACAGATTAAACAGCCTTTACGGGTAATAGGGAGCAGAGTTGGCTGGCAGGGAGCAGAGAAGTGGGGGTTCTCAGGTCTCCAATGAGTAATTTGTGGTTGGTGCCTTTTGTGGGCTGAGAGGAGGCAAAGGGAAATGAGAAAGAAAGAGAGAGAGAGAGAGAGAGAGAGAGAGAGAGAGAGAGAGAGAGAGATTGATTCTAGAATGGGGAGAAGTTTGGCCAATGTGTTCCTTAGTTTCTGGCTCCAGGAGAAATATTACTAGTTTCACCTTTTCCTGCTGAAGGGGTGTGAAGCCACAGCGTGGACAGACAACCCTATGCCCAGCTCCACCAAAAGTGACCCATGCAAAGGACAGGCAGGAGCTTCCCAGAGGTGGGGTCTGAGGTACCCCAAGTGTGTCCAGGGGGCTTGGTGGGAGTGCCCTGGTTCCTGGAGGAAGCTACCAACCTCCCCTCCATCTGCGTGTGTGCTTTTCATTCTGAGGTGACCAGCTCAGGCCATAATAGACAGGAGGGGTCGGGTTGCTGGGCTCCCATGGGTGCTCTCCACCTCTGGTCCAGCACACCAGGGCATGATGTTGCCTACTGCTGGGGAAAGGGCTGAGTCTGGGGTTCCCCACACCTTATTCAGGGCTGCCTGGGACGCTCTCTTCACAGCCAGAGGCTTGTGAGCTGTGGATGGGAGGGACTGGTGGCTCCTACCTGGTGGCTGAGACACCTTCCTTCACTTGTTGGCACTGTGGGGGAAGGACACCCTCCCATCCACTGAGCCTGCCCACTGAGCTCACCCAGAACCCTGCCCATGGGCCTCACCACCTCTGGAGGGGTGTGAGGAGGTCAGCCACTCATGGACAGTTGCTGCAAAGGTAATTCTAACAGCTCATGTTCAAGAAGACCCCACCATGTGCCAGGTGCATACATGATCTCCACGATGTCATCTAGTCCTCACCACATTTCTACAAGGGTGCTCCTGTATTACACCCATTTACAGATGAGAAATTGAGGCTCAGAGAGAGAGAGGGCCTGCCTGGGTCTCAGTGGGTAAATGGAGAGCTGGCCCCAAAGCAAGTGCATGTTTCTGCCCAGTTAGGGAGAAAGCATTCATCCCTCAGCGCCTCTGAACTCAGGAGAAGGCTGTCAAGTTGGCACTGGGGGAACTGGGCTCCCGAAACCCCTGTTTGGACACCAACTAGCTGTGTGGCGTTACCTCTCCCAGCCTCAGCTCCCACCTCTGTGAAATGGGAATGCAACGTTCACCTCCCTAAACATCTAAAAATTGCCTTGGTAATAGCCACTGGACCATTCAACCTTTTGCAGTTTGCAAGTGTCATCTCCCGTCATCTTCCCGACACCCTGCAAGGTGGGTGGGAGGGCTTTTCTCACTCATTTTACAGATGAGGAAACTGAGGCCAAGGAAGGTTCAGAGGCAGCGCTCAGATGATGATAACCCTGTCGCTGCATTATCAGTGCCATAAGCACGGTCGTCACCATCGTCACTCACGGTATAGGTGACCCAGAGGCAGGCACTGGCTTTCCTGCATCCCAGCCCCACATTCTCTTTCCGAGGAAAGCACAGTGCTCTTCCCACGGCCTCTCCTGGGAAGGCTCAGCGACCCACCTGGGGCTTAAAGAGAAAGACCCCTGGTGCTCTTTTGTGAAGTTCCTTCCATTGGATTAAGAAACAAAATAGAAAAAGGCCTTTTAGAGCAAACAGGAATGAATTACAACAATTATTTTTAGTTTTAAAAATAATTTTACTAACTGGGCTAAAGGGCATGGGAGGACTCTGCTTCAATAGCTGCTTTTAGATGGCACAAAGGGGCCTTTATTTGCATTGCATATTATCAGAAGCAATAGCTCCTGTGTGTGCCCATTAACCGAGCTAACAATTTCCTCTTTTATTTCCATAGTGACCACGTGGCCAGAAAAATAATCACCAATGCATACGTTTGAGGAAGGGAGCGGTGTTCTGGGGGTGCTCTGGTGCAGATGGCATGATTTCCCAGAAGCAAGGGACTTATTGGGGGGCTCTCTTCAGCTACACTGGTACTTGCCTGGCCCCAGAACTGTGGAGGGACAGCCAGTTCTGGCTCCACGTGGGGCCTGGAGGATGGGCTTTGTTTCAGGGGAGCTGGGATGGAAGACAGGACCCAAGATGGGGAAGTAGGGTGGAGACTCGGAGGCCCCTCTGCATCAGATGCCAGACGCAGCTTTGCCAAATGGGTGTGTTCACTTCATGCATTGCCAGGGACATGGGTGTGAAAGGCATGGCTGCGGAGCATTCATGGCCTGATAAGCAAACTTTGGGGAGATAGACCACTAACTCGGAGACCTGGGAGGTGTCACGTGTCTTCTCCGCTTCCGCATTTCTTCCTCTGTGAAATGTAACAATTTCAGCCAAGGTGATGCTTATGTAAAGCATTTGCAAAGTGCCCTGTAACTGTCTGGAGTTAAGACTCATGTATTATTAATCATGACTATAAGAAATGTATTAAATAGTGATATGTTAATAACTGCAAAGTAAATAATAAAATAACAGTGGCAATCATAAGGCCTCCAGATGAATGGAACACACCCACCTTTCAGTTGGGACAGGGCTTGGGGGAATAAAGGCAGGGGAAATACTGTCACTGAGTTTGTTTTCTATCTCCAAGTTATCCCAATTTGGCTCAGAGGAAGGAGGGGAGAGGAACAGTTAATTCTCTCGCTCACCATGCCTCAGGCCAGCGCCTCTCAACCTTTAATGTACTCTGCCTGGAGTCTGGAGCCTGGAGCCTGGAGAGCTTGTCAGAAGCAGATCCTCATTCAGTAGGATCTGGGGTGGGGCCAAAGATTCTGCATTTCTAACAAGCTCCTAGGAGATGCTCAGGCTTCTGGCCCTCTGATCACATTTTGAGTGACAGCTGAGAGTACTGTTTCCCAAAGTATATTATGGGGCATACCAATCCCATAAGATTCAGCCAGGAAAGGTCCAGCATGGGAAGCCTGCATGGCTCTGTCACTCTCCACTACACACCAGCATATTCAAGGCTCTGTGAAGTCCTGCAACAAGGAAGAAACCACTTCTATCCAGTGGTTCTTAAACATTTTTGATCACAGGACCTTTTTCTTGGGGGAAAGACCTCTTGATAGCCTTGTGAAATTTACAAGACACACGCCCGTAGGGAAATCCCGGATTAGGGAAAGCAACACACATTTTAGAGCCAGCCAGGCCTGTGTTCAAATCCCAGCTTCGCTACTTTCTAGCTCTGTGACCTTGAGCTAGTGTCTTGATTTCCCTGAGCCTCAGTTTTCTCATCTTTAAAGTGGGGATAATAAGCTGTATCACAGGATTGTCATGAGGATTAAATGAGATGGCAAGTACGCATGCTAACGTGCCTGGGGTACAGTAGGTGGTCAAGAAATGACAGTTTCCCATCTTTCCTGCAGTTTTTCTGCTGTAGTTTGGAAGTGAAGGTACTCTTTTTTGGGACCGGCCAGCCCAGATGCAGGCTCGTTGCCCTGGAGGAGGCAGGATGCCACATCCTGCTTCCTTCTCCCCCAGGGCTGTGGGTTTGCCTACCGCATTTCTCCCTGTCATCCCCGTCACCCCTCCCTGACGCATGACACCTCCCACACCCCAAGCTGTCTTCCTTTCTCCTCCTTTGCCTGAAATAGACCCACACCCGAATTAGCCCTTCTTGGCAAGGCACTGCTTACAAAAGTGTCCTGCCCAGCCCCTGACATCTACAAGGTCACTTTGAATTCAAATCACTTCCATCTTTGGTCATTTTGAATCCAGGTGGCTCAGCCAGAGGTCTGGGGCAGGGGATGGGAAAACTCCTGTTTTCCAGGAGTAGTGAGTAACTCACACAATGGTGGAGAAACCTGCAGCCCAGTGCCTGGTATGCACGGACACCGGGGCAATGGTTTCATGACCGAGCCCTAACAGCTTTCAGCAGTTTAGGAGCAGCTTGGGTGGCTATCATGGTACCTAATTTGGGGACAGGGGGCATATCTGAGTAATAGAAGCCTCACTGCTTTGAAGATGGGAGGGTATAGAAATAAGAAATCTTCTAAAGTCTTGGAGGCAAGCAAGTGGAGTTCCTTCCTGCCTGTGTCTGAGGTGGTAAGATGCAGGTCCCAGGTACAGTGGCAGCCCCTTATCCCCGGGTGGGCCAGTCAGAATGCAGAGACCCAGGACAAATGCTCCAGCACAGGCAACAGCAAGAAACACCAGTCCACATCCAAGGGACAGAACGAGGCCCGAGCCCAAGCGAACCCTCTGCCCATTCGCTCCATGAAAGAGAAGAGAAAGAAATGTCTACCAGTGGCTCAGCCATGCTATGGGGTGGGGCCAAGTAGCTGAACCCCGGCCTGGGTCCCCCTGCCTCAAGGCAATTTTAGAGTCGAGGACTGGAGCCTTTACTGGGGACCCAGACGCCAGCTTCAGCCCAGGACCTGACCCCAGGCCTTCTTCCCAAAGCTGGGGCCAGGAACGTGCTTAGGAGAGGGCCACACAGGTGGGGTGCTGCTTCTTGGGGCCAAATCGGAAGCCAAGGTCATGTCCCTCTTCCGGGCTCTCCTGGGGGTCAAGGGCCCAACAAGAGCCAGCGCTGTTTTGCCGCCGAAAGTGGGCGTGGAGCAGATTCCCGGTGGTGGCTTCTCTCTTAAGCACCTGCCCCATATGAGAGGACAACTGTCCGGGAGCTGCCCATGCACATCCAAGATCTGTGTGGTCCAGAACAGGGAGAGGCCAGCCCAAAGTTGGGGGTGGGGGAGAGAGATGCCCATCCACCGGAGACCGAGAGCTCGCCATGGGAGACGTACCATTGACTAGGCTGGCATTTGCACTATCTGCAGCATTTGAACCTGCCGCACCATCGGCCGCTGCGGGGGTGGGAGGGATGGAAAATGCAGTGTGTCACAATGGAGAAAAGCAACAATGCAGAACAGCAACAACAATAAAGACATGAACCAACTGGCGGCAAATAACATGACTATTCTTCAAAGAAAATCTCCGTTGGAAATCAAGAAACTCAAATTTGGGGGTGGGGTGAGATGTTCTCACAGAGATGCCAGAGAAGTCGGGGGCAAAAACTCAGACATGGAGGGTCTTTGAAATAAAACATGGAGGATGATCAATATGGTTAGGCAGATGGCACTTGTTCTGTGGTGAGGTCTGGACTGATGTACCCTCTTGGCCCAGCCAATCAGGTGAGTCCCTGCCAGAGAGGGTTCTATGAAAAGAAGGGGTCTGGCTGCTCATCAGGGCCAGAGGGGCCCAGAGCTGTGAGTCAATTCAAAATATTCAACAACCAGTGCAGTGCGGCACCGGCCATTCTGAATGGGTGTCACTATGACCACCATTGCGCTTACCGTCTGTTGAGGGCAGGGACCTAGCAGGATTCCTGCCCTTGACTCAGGCCACTGCCCATGGCCACCTACTCCTTCCTAACTAGTCCTTAAAAGATTGCCTCAGTAACCCCCATGTGAGATGCCCAGCCATTTAAAAAGGTGACATGCCGCATTTTGTGCATGAGACAAGAGAAGTACTAGTGTGTCTTCCTTACTTTAGAAATTAAAAATGATACGGGATGGTCAAGTTCACCCTTGTTCTTTCTTAGGGGAAGGGAATGGGTTCTGTGGGAAGGAGAGGGAAGAGACACAGCTGGGTGGGGTGGAAGCAGGTCGTGCTCTGTGGGGGGTGGGCAGGGGAGCAGGGCTGTGGGGTCCCACGGTGATCGGCCCCTGCATGCATGTGTGTGGGGCTGTGTGGAGGCAGTGCTGGTGCCATTGGCATTGGCCGGCAGGGTGAAGCACTGGGAGGGCAGGTAGGCGGAGTGGGGTGCTGGCTTGTCCTGTGGGGCTGGCATCACCCGGGGCACAGCCCCTGCAGTCAAGGAGACTCCTCCCTGTGTGCTGGGGTCTAGGGCCCGGGTTTAGTGGTCAAAGGCTACTGCTATTCCTAAAAGCCCCTGAGGGGTGTCTTACTGTACCTGGTAGCTGAAGGCCATCCCCCTTCTTCACACCTGTGTGATGATTTTTGAGACATATTAATGAAGGAGAAGCACACACAGCCTCATCTGCATGTGCGCGTGCACACGCGCGCGCGCGCACACACACACACACACACACACACACACACACACATTCCAGCCCTCCTGGGGTCATCTGAAATGGGGACCCAAGGCTGGTGGGCTTTAAGCAATGTCCCTGGTGGAGGTGATGGATGGCAGTGCTTTGGGGGCCCAGCCCTGGCTGTGCTGCTCACGGGACCTGAGAGGCAAGGCTGCCCCCACATCTGCCTCTGCCATATTGCCTCCACCTCTCCCTTGGGGTGCATGTACATGTTAAGTGAGGGACCCTGACCCATGCTCCAGGCAAAGAAAGGCCTGTCTTCCTACTGGAATTTTCAAAAACACAGGTCTGGCCTGTGGGCTCTGCCCTTCACCCAGGCCCCAGGGAGGCCATGGAAATGGGCAAAGACTGCCGCATCCTGCCCAACTACCCATATCTGCTTCACTGCCTGCATCGAGGGGCCACAGCTGGCCATAGCTTCTGTCATTGCGTGGACATTGTCCTGACATGCTCTGGGCCTCTTGGCCAGGACTTTGTTCCCAGTTTCAAACTCAGCTCTCCCCTTGCTTTCCAGGTCTGGATTTCACAGATTACACCTTAGCTCCATTGTTCCTGTTGGTGGGGCAGCAATAATCTTAGGGGGACCCCACTAGGAAATGAGTTTCACCCTCAGGAACAAGTAACCTTTGATTGTGACCCAGGCTCTGTGCCTGGTTGACTTCTGGGAGCTGAAAGTCGCAAGGATGCCCCTAAAACTCAAGGAGGAGCTACCTGCCATGTCATCTCCTTCCCCTGGGCTCCAGAAAGTCTGGGTACTGGGGACTGTCTTCTGGAGCTTGGGGAAGGAGAAAAGACAAAAGACTGAAGATGTGAGAGGAGGGCTTTCCTGAGACCAAGTGTGCGTGCTGGGTAAGGAGCCGGCTGTGCTGGGGCCAGTGGCCTGGGCCTCTTGTGTCTTCCAAGCATCTCTCTTCTGCTCTGAAAGGCATTTGTAGCCCAGGCTTCCAGCCTGCTGCACTGAGAGGGGTCCAGAGAATGAGGACTCTTTTTTTCCATGGGGGAGGAGAAGCCAGAACACAGTTGAGATGGCAGCTCTGGGGGCATAGGAGAGGGACTTACAGCAATTGACTCGGAGCCATGTTCCCCAGAAGCTCCTGTGCCCATATCTGGAGAGAATCTATAATGGGTGGGTTTGTTGCTTTGCTCAGTGGAGTTGACAGTGGAGGAATATGCCTGAGTATGAATTTCTACTTGGTATCAAGAGTGATGATGGGACCAGGTCACGCTTGAGGCTGGACACTCAACAAATGCTCAGCACCCTTGGATTGGCCTGAGGGGAAGGAGAGGCCTCTGTGACATGACTGGACAAGACAGAGACTGGGACAAGACCCTGGAGATGGAACAGACAGAGCCCTTCTGGCCTGAGCAGGGCCTCGAGGACGCAGGAGGCGGCTGTTGGCACAGGGCATGAACATAAAAGGCACTCAATAACTATTTTGTTGAGTGAATGATTCAACAACAAAAATATGTGGCCTTAGGAGCTCCTCTTCTGGTCCTCAAGGGGGTTGGGCTTACCTTTTTTGTCTTTCTTCTCTTCCTCCTCGCCGCCAGCCCCCAGCAGGGTAAAGATAATGCCAGTCTGAGAGTTCACACCCACGGCAGTCACCACCATCCGTCCAGAGCCCTCCATCACGTGGGTCCCTGGGGAAGGGGATGGAAACCAAGTTACCATTGCACAGCCCAAGCCCCCTCCCCAAAGGAGTGGAAGGAATTCGGTCCCAGTGGGCTACTGGCAATTTGCCTGCTGAGGTCCTAGGGCACCATCCATGGTTAAGGTTCCAACTATGAAACTTTTAGATGATTTCATCTTGGGACATCACTGTGATGGACCTGGAGCTCAAAGACTCAGTTCTCACGTCCCCAGGCCTATCATCTACTATCCTCTCCTGGAGACAGGCCTCCTTCCCTCCCTCTCTCTCTTCCTTTCCTCTCCCAACCTTAAAGACCAAGTAGGGACTACTCTCTCTTTTCCTCATTGATTGATCTAGAACCGGACCTCCTTTTGCCTAATTCTATAACCACTAAAGAAATGCCAGCTAAGCTCTTTACAGGACTACTGCAAATGGGGTCCACCCCCTCCTAAAGATCTGGGGAAAGAATCTAGAGCTCTGTGAAATTGGGTGAAAAAACAATAACATCTTTATTTTCACAAACATCTAACTGAAATTTAGCATTTCCTCCCATTATGAATCTAGGCAACAAATTCCAGGAGTGTTAGTGGTGCCCCAATGCCATTCACATGTTGCAAGAATCAGAAATTGTTTTCTTATCACTTGATAGCAGTTATAGATGTCATGATCCTTACCCGTGTTTTACAACTAAGGCAGTTATTAAGCTGACTGCTGATCTTGTTACGCAATGTGCCAATAAGGAAGCACATATGTTACCATACCACATGTTAATTTTTTTATTACTTTAATTATTTCAATCTCATCAGCTTCCTTTGTGATCCAATGTATTTTATTTTATGCATTCCAAAGTGTTATTCCAAGTAGGGGTGGCACACGATGATATCAGACTTCCCCAGGGGTCCAAGGTGCAAGGAAAATTAAGAACTCCTTTCCCAGAATTTTAGATTTTTCTAACTGGGTTCCAAAGGGCCCTGGAATTTTTTCAGAGGACAGCAGGAGCAGCTGTGTGTGTGTGTGTGGGGGGGCAGGGTGCGGTGAGGAGGGAGGCCTTCGGTCAGAGAGGCTCCACTTTTATTCGTCTTCGGGGTTTCTGTGTCAGCTTTTGTTTGACTAGATGGTCTTGTTGCTACTGGAAGGCAGGCCCCTCCACCGTACAGGTCAGGGAACAACTTGTCCAAGACCACTCAGGGAGTTTGTAGCAGAGTAAGGATAAAAGACAAAGGTAAATCCACTGAAAATGTGGTCTATCCATACAATGGAATATTATTCAGCCTTAAAAGGGAAAAGAATTCTGACATGCTACCACATGGATGAGCCTAGAGGACACTATTCTAAGTGAAATAAGTCAACCACAAAAAGACAAATAGTGTGATTCCATTTACATGAGGTCACTGGAGAAGTCTGATTCAGAGACAGAACGAAGAATGGTGGTTGCCAGGGGCTGGGGGGAGGGGAAAATGGGGAGTTAGTGCTTCATGGGGACAGAGTTTCACTTTTACAAGAAAAGGTTTTGGAAATGGAGAGTGGTGATAGTTGCACAACAATATGAATGTACTTACTGTCATGGAACTGTACACTTAAAGGTGTAAAGTGGTCAATTTTATGTTATGTTTATTTTACCATGATAAAAAAAAATTGGAAAAATAATATGAAAAAAAGGGAAAACTTCTGAAGCTGTGGCTTCACTGAGGAAATAAGGTGACCCCAGGGAGGGTAGTTGGGACCCAGGGCAGGAAATGGACAACAGCTATGACAACCCAGTTCTGAGGGCAGGAGACAGGCGGCCCTCTATCTTCAGGCTAGTGTTGGAGATGCACGGCCACTGCGTCCTGCCTTAGCAGCTTTCACAGAGCAGGCGGACCACTCACAAAAACAGAGTTGGCACCTATGGCCCTGAGGCATGTCATCTGCAGAAAGCTCAGGGCACACCTGGCGAGGGCCCCTAAGTCCCACCAGCGGCCACTCTATTTAGTAAAGACTCTAGGTAAGTGAACTTTTGCCAGTCAGGCACTCATTTTTTTTTAGTTATTAGTTTAAATTTTTTCCACTCTGGGTAGAAAACGTAGCACATATTTCTTCGCCAGAGAAGTCAGAATCTAGTCTTGGCCTGGAGCAGTATCTGGGACCATCCTCAGGCCGCATGGTAAGAATGAACCAGGTTTCCTAGACAGGGTGTGAGGGCCCCGGTGGCCATGAACACTGACCCCCGACGCTAAATGGCCTCGATGACCTGCTTCTTGAACTCTTTTTAGAGTTTTTCTTTCTTTCTCCTCAAGATTGATCTCCACTTCCCCCTGTTTTCAAGGTAATTTGTCTCTAACAGCCTTCTCTTTGGTTTCCAATTCACTTCAGACTTGAAGTCTAGGTCAATAAACACCTTAGAATTGTATTTAAAATAAATGTCAAGAGGTTCTGCGTTAGGACCTGAAGCAGTTTCCTTAAAGCTAGGAATCTATTTGCACTTTTCAAGAGGTATCGTCCACCCTTCCCTTTCCCTTTTAGGATCTGAGTGATATCGTGAGATTGTGGTGCGTGTATGTGTGCGCACGTGTGTGGTGTTCCAGCCTCTTGGTCTCCAGGATCTCAGGATCTTATAGTACTTTACAGACAGACAGACACTCTCCAGTAAGGTCCTTTAAAGCAGGTAAAGGTCAGTCTGTCCATTCGTAGATGGATAAATGAAGCCATGAAGGCTCCCAGAGGGGGCACGGAGCCCATGAGCTATAACAGAACCCAGGTCCTTAGATGACAAGCTCTTCTGTTGGCTCCTTGCCCATTCCCAGGACAGAAGGACAGTGCTCTTTTGTCCCTGAGCAGGGAATAGGTGAGACCACAGAATGAGCTTGGACACTGATTCCAGGCCAAACAGCCCAGGCCTGGTGTATTCCCATCACAGGCAGACCCTGGAGCCCACCTACCTCCCAAGGGGGACAAATTGGGAGAACCAGGGCCCAATAACAGGACCTTGGTAATTATAGTAATTTGCTGATAAAATGCTTTCTTGTGCACTGGCTCAGCTCAGGTGGGGGCTGACAGGGAGAGGCGTTAAATATCAGCAATGTTTGACAGATGAGGAAACCGAGGCCCAGAGAGGTCGCGTGGGCGTGGGGGAGGGGTCACTGCAGATCTTTAAATAAGAGGGAGGACCACACCTCACTGCATTCACAGCGTGCAGACAGCAGTGATGGAACCCAGCTCTGCCTTCTGTAGGACACCTGCTGTGCCAGGCAGTGTGCTAAGCCCTTCACATCAGTCATCTCACGAGTCCTCCTCGGTTTACGGAGGAGGAGGCTGAGGCTCAGGGAGAAGTGGCTTGCCCAGACTCAGAGCTGGGGAGGGGCACAGCCAGGAGCCTATTCTCTTTGTCACACACCACCTCTCCCTCCAGGAAACAAGGCCCTCACACCTTGGTCTCAAACGCATTCGTGAAAAAGTCTGCTTTGCCTGGGTGGCAATGGAGAAGCTGCTCCCCATCTCACCAGCCCTAGGTGGGATGGAAAAAGACACAGGGGGCCAATTTCCACCCAAGATAATCAGACCCCAAATCACCTTCTAATCTAATCACTCCCATCACAGCAGGGAGCTGGCAGCTCTATACTGGAAGGCAAGGAGGAGGGAGGACGGAGGAGGAAGTTAGGGAGGTGGCCTCTGGCCACGACTCAGGGGACACCAGGTGAAGGCACAGCATGCCCCTGCCAGCCTCGGAAGACGGAGCCCTGGGTGCTCCTACAGGCCTCAGCAGTAGATGGGCCTGAGGAGTTGGGGGTATCAACCTCCCCCTCTGGTCCTGCTGCCTTCTGGGCCCCAGCCTCAGCGCTGACCACTGTCCCTAGCTCAGAAAACCTCCAGAGCTCCCTAAAGTCCAAATGCCTTGGTCAGCAGCCCCTGGGGCAGACCCCAGCCTTCTTCTGGCCTTTGGACACTGATTCCTGCCCCATGGTGTCTGCCTTGGGGGTGCGCCCATCTCACCAGGCCTTCGTGTCCAGCCCCACCCTCCTCCGCCTTTGCTTGTACTGTTACCACTGCCTGAATGCCCTTCCTCTACCTCTCATCTGAAACCTCCTCTTTCAGGCTCAGGACGAATGCCCCTCCTCTTACTTAGGTGGCCTTTCTGATCCCCACAAAGGGACTTAACTTTTTTCTCTGAATTCACCCCTGTGGTTTCTCCTAGGGATGCTTCCAGGCCTGGCCCCTCCCACCAGATCGGGAGCCCCTTGAGGGTAGGCTTTGAGTGTGGGTCTCCTCTTAGCCTCCCGCAGCAGAGCCTGGCTTGCAGCTGGAACTCCGGCATCTTTTTTTACTGCTACCTCCTTGTCTGTGTTTTCCACGGTGGGCATGTGTTACATTTATAACGGAGAACGCCACAACCTCAAGAAGCCATCCTGGCGGTTTTACAGAGTCTAATTCATCTGAGCCTTGCCGTCCTCCCTGCCCTTCACTGGGCCATTCCTCTCTCCTACCAGGACCTCAGGGCCTGGCTGCTCCTCGTGCCAGAGGAAGAATTGAGCGGACCAGGTCATTCCCCTAGGCTGCCATAGCCCAGCTCCAGCGTCCCCTACAGAGGGCAGCGCTTACCCCAAGGGCTACAGAACTACAGGCGTGCAAGTGACAGGGTGGATGACTACATCTCTCAGAGGAAAACCTCAAGGGCTTTGGGCAGGAGCAGAGGTGAGAACCCTTTGGGTGTGGGGCCCCGGCAGGGCCTTGCTCCATGGCCCCTTGGGCACCATCCATAGCCCCCTACCTCCTCTAAGCTCCCATGGAGCCCCTCAGAATACTCCAGCATGGTGAGGGGTGAATAGGGAGGGCCCTGGGCCAAGGAGGAGGGGACCTGGGGACCAATCTGGTGTCTGCTTCTGATTTGCTGTGTGATCTGAGGCCAGCCTTCTCCTCTCTGGACCTCGGTTTTATCTTCTGTAAAATGGGGAGCTCTGGCTTAGCTCTCACCTCTCAGTGATGAAGTGTGAGTTCCCTGGGGCCCCTGGAGATGAGGGCCGCCCCGGGGTGGGG